CAAAGTTCTCCTCTGTAGCCTAGCAGGGCTGCTCCTCCCTTGCGGGGTGGGGACGTCAAAGAGCCTGCCATTGAATTCCTGTCAGAAATAGTCCCTGGTACCCTTATTATGGGAAACCTAGTTTTGCCATTTCTAACACAATTAGAAACACACTTTGTAAAAGTTAGCCTGGTAAATGGCGAGAGAATATGAGAATAAATTATGTGAATTACCATAATAATTTCTTTGGGCATTGTTGAGTAACTAAGTGTGTAAAATAGATTTGAAACTCCCCTTGGCAGCAAGGTGGCTTTGGGCTAATGACCTTTACCGGTGCTGCACACTGAACCAGTTGGGGAGCCTTTAAAAATCTTGAGGTTGAGTGCAGGCATCACTACAATTTCACTCAAATGGGCTGCAGAGCCTGGACAAGCTGTCACTGCTGTTGATGCAGGACAGTCTGCTATTGGTCTATATGTAATCTGAATCTTTAAAACTTTAGATCTGCTGTCAACTTTGGAAAAAAGTGACCCAGAACTGAATTGCTGTTTACAGATATTAACAGCCGTATTGCTGTTGAAGCATTAAGCTTCTTTTGTTTCCATTTGTACAGGGGTAACACAGTGTATTGAAAATGGAAGGTCTTATCCACATTGATTTTAGTGCAGAAAGTAATAAAGATCTTGAAATTAAATAAAATTACTAATGTGCAGGTTTTTACTTATTTCTAGTTCAGTCAATCGTGTCAGGGGATAGGAGGCGGCCCAGTATTCTTAAGGTGATTCCAAAGCATTGCAGTTTGGGAACCTCTGTCATGAGGAAAGAATGAGAAATATATCATGGATGGCTTAAATAAATAAGATACTGAGCGGGTAGAAGATTATTCAAGTCCCAGTTTCGCTTTTGTTTTTTCTTCATATGTTTTAGACATAGTACATATATAAACACTGAACTTGAATTAAGTTTAATTTGATTATAGATGGTCATTCTTAGATTACAAGGTACTCAGCCATCTATCTCAGTGCTCCTTGTCTACCTCAGTGACCCTTATACTATTTATATTTTCATACCTTTCAGACATCAAGCATATTTAACATGCAGGACAGTCCCTAACATCTGTACTTAAATCTTGCTCCACCACTCCTGAGTTTGACACCTGTTTCACTCCAACTTGCCAGGAGCTAACCAGATACACATTCTATTACCACTAGTCATAAGGTATTCATTCCATCCAGGAAGTGCTCTCATACTCTGCTTCTTCAGAACATGCCTGGCACCAAACGTCTGAGACAGGGTCCTGCGAAACGGACTCCGAGTTGGGAACTGTATGTGGGAGGCTTTAGGGAAGTGAAAAATATAGGATTGGGTAGATAGAGATGCCATCAATGACCAAGATGCATTATGGGCTTTGGCCTGTCTGTCTTCTGGGGCCTTGGCCTGTCTGTCTTCTGGGGACCTTGGCCTGCCTTCTGGGGACACCACAGAGATACAATGGCCCTTCAGAGCTGTTGCTAATTGCACCAAAAGGGTTGGCTTTCCTAAACAGGGAAGACGGTAAGCAGCTTAAATTGTGTACCAGCGACCTTTACCCCAAGCAGGGCAAAACTCTCAAGTCTTACCAAACAGATTGCTCCTATATACTATGAAAGTGGAGATTGCTTAGAGCAAGAGGGCCCTGACTTGTTAAATTTTTTTTTTTTTTTTAATGGTAGTACTACTCTCTTCACAGATTAAGAAAATGCCAATGGAACTGAAAAGTAATCGGTGAGATCTTCATTTTACTACTGACTCTTCCCAGTGCATATGGCTGAATCAATTGGTTGAAGAGAAAGAAACAGCAATTGGAAGAGGTAATGCCCAAGGCTTTGTCAAAGCCTTTGCTTGGTCCTCATCCTGTTCAACTTGTACCCTGGAAGACACAGGTGGTATTCTGATCAAATACACGAATGACATAGAGCCAAAAGAGATAATTAAATCACAAAATCTTGATTCACTGTGGCAGTAGTGCAAATTTGACACACACGCGCACACACACACACACACACACACACACACACACACACACACACACACAAGAAATGTGGCTCATTGAGTGCTTGCCTAACATGCCCGTGGCCCCGGGTTCCACACACAGCCCTTCAGCCAGTTAACCGACACAGTGCAGTGTGGCAGAAAAGCTGCAATGTGAAGTTTTCTCTGCCACCTAACCAAGGCAGCATTAAAAAAATGGTAGAGAATAAAATAAGTATAAAATAATTTGTGTCTGTCACCAAGACAGGCCAGTACTTGAGCATTTGCTTTATGCCAGGTGGTCTGTGAAATACTGCACACATAGTTTTACAGTTTTACCTTGGCAAGATCCCTGTAAGGACACAGAGAAATTGCTAGTGGAAGCAATAATATCTAGTGTTTATAAAAAAAAAATTACCGAGTCCTAGGTGTCATTCTAACCGTCTCACACTTAATTCTTATCATAACCCCCAAGTGGAGGGACAGAGTGGTGGAATCATTTCCTAAGATCAAGCCTGGGGGGACAGGGGTTCAAATCCACACTACTGATTTTATAGCTGCATTGTATTTTCTTTGTAACTGTTCTTCTGTACTACCCTCCTGCAGGCTTATGGCCAGGTGTACTAATCACCTACTGTAATCTTGATAAAAACTCTGTGAGACTGCATTTAAACCACCCAGGAAACTGAAAGTTATAAGGATTTGAAACCAGCTGCCAAGATTTTGTAGAATAGTGAGGGTTTTGCTTTATATTTCCTTTCTTTCCTTCCTTTTTTTCTTCCTTCCTTCCTTCCTTCCTTCCTTCCTTCCTTCCTTCCTTCCTTCCTCCCTTTCTCTCTCTCTCTCTCTCTCTCTCTCTCTCTCTCTCTCTCTCTCTCGACAAAGTCTGTGCTAGAACTCATTATGTAGCCCAGCTGCCTTCTGAACTCAAGATCCTCCTTGCCCAGCCTTCTTGAGAGCTGCGATTCCAGCTGTGTGTCACTCAGTTAACGCTCAGTTAACAGATTGCAGGTTGATGAGTTGCAAATTCAGACTTCTTAAACCTTTTGCCATGCTGGAAGAGGAAGATGTGGCAAAACCAGCAACGTTAGTGAAAAAAAAAAAGAGAGCCTTTGCAAATTCAGTGTAAGGTAGTGTAAGGTGTTGGGCCATTAAAGGTAGGCCAGCTGATGCTGCATCCAAGGATGGCGTACAGGGCAAGGGAGGCTCCAGTCCCACTCTAGTCCTTTCAGTTGGCACACCTGGAGCACGGTGAGCAAATACTTTAAAAAAGGATGTGAGCCTGCCATACAGGGTGACGCTCATCCATATGTGAGCTTGCCATACTGTACCGTGTGAGCATCCACAGGAACAGCCCCCAACCAACTGAGAAAATCCGGCCTCTAAAATGAGACACCTTGGCAGGCCAGCAGCTCCCATTCAGAATATCCCCGTGGTGTAGGGTCGCTTGCAATCCATGCAGCTCCAGTGTGGAAGACTGGGGTGCTCAGGCACAACACGGAGGTGAGGGATTTGGCCCTTTATAAGGTCTGGCTGCTGTCTGGAGCTTTTTTTGGATATGAAATAGGCTTTCTGGTTAGAGTCAGTTCTTCTTCACTGATGAGTATAGTGGCCACTGTGAGTGTTACATACACACACACACACACACACACACACACATACACACACATACACATACCTAGGGAATGGGTATAAGGAATCGTCTGGGGGACTTTGTTAAATATTGAGAGGTATGCCATACCTTGCCGTTTGGAGGCCACTTAAGCTGATCTGAGATTAATGTCTAAGACTCTACATCTCAAATAAGCAACTCAGTAAGTAAGCTCTAGCCAGGAGGCCTCACTTACTCTTTGAGGATGAGTGAGAATAAGCTTGTCTACTTATTCTGCAAATGAACATTTGATTAGGAAAAAAAAAAAAAAAGCAAAAACCAGTATGTAGTCAACATAAGGATGTTTAACAAAAGATTGGCTTAGTTAGGTTTTATATTTTAACAAAATCCAAGAATAAATTCTTCACTATGTTGACAAAGGTAAAATTATTGGAAAGTACAGTATATAGAGAGGGAGAAGGCAGGATTTTTACTATTTGTCATAAATGATCACATTTTACTAGCAAAACAGAAACTATAAATTCATTTTGAAAATCTTTGAACACTTTCGAGAACAGTCTGTACTTGCCATGGGGGAATCAGCGAGTCCTGGGAAAAGCTGGGCGATTAGCCTAGTGGATGGCACCTGTGTGGGTGGCCTGCCAATCAGCCTTAAGAGTCAAGAGTAGATGGAGCCGCCCACACCTCACTAAGCAGACTCGGGCTATAGCTGGCAATGAGTAGTGTACCTTGGCCTGCTATTTTGGGGAAACCAAAGAAATTTTACTAACAAGTGTAATGTAATGTGTTTTTATTAATCTTAACTTTTAGTGTGCAACTTTGTAAGCCATATTTTCCAACCGCAGTCCTCTGAAGCCTGAATTCTTGACTCTTTGTAAGTATGTTCTTAAAGTGGCTGCTACTGACCACATTAGTGGCTTCAGCTAGTATATCTTACTGTCCACCTTAGTAGCTTTGTACTTATGTTGCATCTTGCTTACTTAATTGTTTTAAACTTTTAAAAACAGTGTTTTCAGCCAGGTAGAGGTGGCACATGCCTGTAATCCCAGCACTCAGGGAGGCAGCGGCAGAGGCAGAGGCAGAGGCAGGCAGATCTCTGTGAATTCAAGGCCAGCCTGATCTACAAGCGAGTCCAGGACAGCCAGGACAACACAGAGAAACCTTGTCTTGAAATCTTTTGGAAAAGTGTGAAAACAGGAAGGTTGAAGAGGCATTTTGTTGGGTTGATGCACTTAGTTCACTGAGGATTTTCCTTCCCCCCTCAAAAACAATTTAAGTTTAAGGCATATGAAATTCCCAGCCGGCAATGGCATGCTGCTGTTGAGCTAAACCTTGGCTCCTCTGTGACCCCTTCTTGCTTTCAATGGCTTCAGGTCTCTACGCAGACTGCTTTGGAATCATGAGAGATGAAATTGCAACGGCAGTTTTTTTTGTCACGAGATTGGTGAAAAAGCACGAGAAATTGAGTACAAAACAGATAGAAGTCTTTGCACTAAAGCTGATGACTATCTTGTTTGAAAAGTACAGAGGTCACTGGCACCCTGACTGCCCTTCCAAGGGGCAGGCTTTTAGGTGAGAGCTCCTGCGGCCCAAGGGAGGGAGGCACCGGCGAGGAATGCAACAATTGTGTTGTTTGTCCTCAAGTAAGGGGCGTTTTGTGGGCTTCCGTTAGTTTGTTTGAACATGGATTTAACGAGGTGTGATGGGTGGCATAGGCCGGAGTCTGCACACCTGTAAGTGAGGTACGACTCTCATCTGTTTGCCATAAAAGATAGACCATGAGCGTCTGGTGGCCTGACAGTGTGGCTTAATGTCAAGATACCCGTTCTGCGTCATTGTAGCAAAAGTTAATGAAGTTTGACTGCATTTGTAAGCATGCAGGGTAGGGGAGGAAGAGGAAAAGATGTGGGTAGGGCAGGAGCTGTACCCCCCCCCCCCCGCTGTGTGATTTCCTGCTGGAACACCTATCAACATACTTTCCTTGTCCTTTCTTGCTTTGTATCCTCCTCAGGTGTATCAGGATAAACAACAATGAGAACAAAGACCCCATTTTAGAAAGGGCTTGTTCTGAGAGTAATGTGAATTTTTTTCACCTGGGACTTCCAAAGGAGATGACCATATGGGTCGATCCCTTTGAGGTGTGCTGTAGGTGAGTAATTTCGTGGTTGTGTGCTTGGTGAGCCCGACAAACCTTAGGTTGTTTAGACAGCTCTGTGTACCTCTGTGAAAGATGATGCCCAAAGCATTGGCTTAGCAACAAGGGCACTATTTGATCATGGTTTCCGATGTAAACTTTTACTAGCCAACACCCGTTTCCATTAGGGATGGTTGAATTGGCAAGCACAAAGGCACTGTAGTGTGTTTGCAGTGACTTGGGTCATTGCAACCGATTGCATACTGCAGATTTGCAGCCTTTAAATACCACAGGGAACACCAGGAAGTCAGGGGAACCATCTAACACGGTGGACAATTAATTGATTTGTCCATGAATTGATCCAAAAGAATAAAAAGGTTGTTTTTTTGTTGTTTCTGGTTTTGTTTTTGTTTTCTTTCTGACTGGGTAAATTGTTACAGGATAGGCTCACTAATTGTAACATCATAGTAGTTTCAGGTTATAATATCATTCAATGTACTCTTTTAAAAGAGCCAGGACCTTTAAAATGGCTTTATAAAAGTTAAAGTTAGCCTGTTGTCTCCAGACTCAATTAGAGATCAAATCTGTGGGAAGTTGAATCTCTAATGAGTAATTTTTTTTTCCTGCTTAGGTATGGTGAGAAAAAGCATCCCTTTACAATTGCTTCTTTTAAAGGCAGATGGGAGAACTGGGAACTAGCTCAGCATATCAGCTGCGCAGTTAACAGAGCCACAGTGGACTGCTCTTCTAGCACATCTTCTGACGAAGAAAGCTGCAGCAGTGAGCCCCAAGTCATCCCCAAAGTCAACAACCCGAAAAGCATCTACCAGGTTGTGTGTGGTATAATTCCTTTCTTCTCTTCTAATTCTAAGGAGAATGTTAGAAAAAGAGCAGAAAGCAGTGAAACGGTAAAGATAAGCCCTCTCCCAACGTCAGTATTTTGGCAGAACCTTTTCTGTCCCCCTACCCTTTTGGATACCATTGCCACTTGACCAAGTTCTGAAGTGACATGGCCTTTTGTTGCCTTTTTTCTTCACATAGTGCTTGAAACAGCTGGGTTTCCTTCAGAGTAAACTGTAATACCTAGTGTGTTTTGTTTTTAAATTTGAGACGCCTTAAATAGCCCAGGCTGGCCTGTAATTTGTGAGCCTCCTGCCTCTCACCTGCTTGAGTGCTGTGATTGAACATATGTGGCTCCTTGCTCAGTTTGGTAGGCTTCGTTAGTCAAAATGACATGTCATTCATAGAAAGCCTGGACTATCTAAGGCCAGAGTACTGTCATTTTGGCCTTAGTGGAGCTCGTTCTCACAAAACAATAATAATAATAATAATAATAAAAAACTTTTTAAAAAGATGTAGCCAGTTTTAAGGCTGCTTATCTGAAAAACAAAACACTCACACTATCAAAACCAACAAAATCATAACCCTCAATAGAGATAGTTACATATTATATAGAAATAAATTGCAGGAAACAATACTAAAATTTACCAGGAACCCCTCACTGCAATACCTCTGACAGAGTTCAGTAGATAATTTCAGGCATCTTAAGCTGATTTCATGGCCCATTTGAGAAACACAAACTTAAAGAGATTCTTGGTCAATGTTAGTATTCGTGCTTCCATCTTAACCACTTATGCTAACGTTCAGTTGTTTGTCTTTTGACAGTTACCAGCCAGTACTTTACATTATTTCCACATTGATTTATTAAAAAAAAAAAAAACCTTAAAATTTGACATCATTATAGAAGCTACTTCTTTTTTTTTTTTTTAAAGTTATTTCTTATGACTGGATTCTTAGACATGGAATTCTAGGCCATTAAATATGGATAGCCTACTGATTCCAAATATATGGCTTAATGTTCACATTTTAAAAAAAATTCACTAGTTCTACTATCTGCTTTATTATTTTCTCTAAAATTGGCCTGTTCTCATAAAAAAACAAGTAATTTAAAAAGCAATGTGTGTACTAGATAGATAATACTAATGAAATTAAGTGTTCAATATTGTCTCATGAAATTTCATGAAGTCCTTTTGTATTATCGTATATCACAGGTCAGAAACACTAACTTTTATATTACTGAGAAACATTTTCCTTTAGTTTTTAAGTGTGTGTGCGCGCGCATAGTAATTGCCTGAGAACTGGGATTCCAGCTGTGTGTTTCCACACTCCGTTTAGTGATACTGTGTAACATCTCATTTGTAGGGAGGTGTCTTCCTTCTGGAGTTCAGATCTTTGCTGGGCTAAATCGTGCTATGGTAGTATCTTTTCAGAGTGTGGTCTATAAACCATTGCTGTCAATTGCTTGACATGTTTATGATGGGATAATTTTTAGGCAGTTTTGGAACAGGCTGGCAGGGGTCAGGATTGAACCAGAGATAGATATGTGAAATGCTTTATGCTGTATCTTTTCTGTATGGTGCTAGGGATTGAACCTAGCGTGACAGGCACCCACTTGGATGCTGGACCACGTTTCCAGCCCTAGCTTGTTATCTTTCCTTTTTTGAGAGGAGGTATCACTAATTTCCCTAAGCAGGCCATAAACTTCTGATCTTCCTACCTCAGCTCTCCAAGTAGCTGGCATTAAAGGCCTTACTGTGATACAGCTGAAATATTTTTAGTTTCATTGAGGAATTTAAGGGCTGGAGAAACGGCTTAGCTGATATTTTAGAGGACCCACATCCAATTCCCAGCACTCACATCGTGGCTCACAGCCAACTGTAAGTCTAGTCATGGGGAGTCTGACACCCTCTTCCAGCTTCAGCTGGTCTCAGTAGGCACCAGGCATGCGTGTGGTATACAAACACACTTAGGCAAAACATCCAACTACATGAAAACAAAACAAAACAAAAAATTCATTTGTTAAAGATAGATAAAAATTAACGATGGTCTAAAAGGCGTATGAAATACTGGGGATTTTCTGTAGGTGATTATCTGATTTCTAAATTTCCAATCCCTATGCTTTTGATTTCTGAGTCATGGGCTCGTAGTCTTAAGAGCTGCCTATCAGTCCAGTGATCTTCATGTATTGTGTTTCCTGTCTTTTTTTTTTTCCTTCCCAGGTTGAAAACTTCAAACAGTCCTTCCAACCATGGCTCTACCTCCCCCGTAGAAAGCATTTGCCAGATGGTCCTGGGGGCCTCCTGGGGCCTGCTTACCACCCCGTGCCCAAGAACTCTAAGTGCTGCAGGCCTGCTGGGCGGCGGGTGGACAGGTACCACTGGGTCAACGCACAGCTGCACAGTGGTCACGCAGCACCAGGCGAGCTTGGAGACGAGGCCTTGTCTTCCCTAAAGCAAAAATGAGGCCAACGTCAAGAAATTCCCCCAACAGAAAAAAAAAGGATGGCATCAGGGGCGAGAGTGTACAAGGTCATCCTCGCGCACAGGTCGCCACTTGGCTTTTAGCTACTTTTAATTCTCCTTTAACTTTATATAAAATTCTGTGTAACACTAGTGAGTACATGTGCCTAGTAAAGTAGTAGAACAGAGACGCTGCCTCTGATAAAGTGAAATGAATTATGGGAAGGAAGAGTTGAAATAAATGCACTGTGTTTTTAAACAAAATCCTGATTCAGTTTGTTTCACGAAAGTTATAAGTCTTTTGTTTCTTCCTTAGTCGTTTTAAAAGTAGGTTTTCGGTTAATGAAGAGTGATCCTGGTGGAAAAGCATTCTGGATTCACCTTTGTTATTTGTTGTAATCAGTCTATTTTATAAATCTGTTAAGACGTTAGATTGTTTTTTTTAAAGATAAGAGAATTCCCTCATTATGTCTTTTGAAAAGTTTAATTTTAGACTAAAATTATTAAATTTATTGATATGATATGTTTTATAAAAGTGTTACCTGCTTCTTATAAAGAATCCAAACTAAGCCAAGACATGTGCTACCAAAAGAACTAACAATTCCTATTAGTGAGCCGACGGGCGACCCCTACTAATATTAAATGGTGGCCATGTTACAGATGTGCATATTTAGGAATGGGTACCCAGGGCTTCCAGCTGGCTCAGTAGAAAAAGGGACTTTACACTTGCCACCACATCTGTCACCTGAATTCGGTTCTCAAGACACATGTGGTAAAGGGGCGAACTGACCCCCAGTTGTCCTCTGAGCTCCACATGTATACCGCGGCTCCTGCATGCCCTTGCCCAAATATGTAAACGTAAAAATCTTAAAAAAAAAAAAAAGAATACACAGTTAAGCAAGGACACATGCTAAAAGGGCTACACATTCAGTATTTAAATTTGGTCTTATTTGATTTTTAAAAAAACCGCTAACAACCTTGATGTGAAATTGACAGTGGCCCTGAAATGGCTCAAAGCTTTTCCACAGCAAAGTAGCGAATTTCTTAACTTTTATCTGGAATTCAACATCAGGTTGGTGCAGTACCTAAAACTTTTATATGTATTTGTCATTGCTCTGACCACCATCTGGAGTTAGGATTTTTAACTTTTTGTCACTTATTCACGATGTCTTTGTGTGTGTGCCTGTGTGTACACTTGTTTGTGAAGGTCAGGGGTCTGTGCTGGGTGTCTCGTCAATTGCTCTTGTCATTTTTGGAGACATGGTCTCTCCCTGAACTTATGGCTTGCTGAGTGGCTGGAGGGCTGGTTTACAATCCTCTGTCCCCACCTCCCCCATGCTGGGATTGCAGGCTCATGCAGTAGTGCCTGGCTCTTTAAGTGGGTGTTGGGGAGCTGAAACCAAGTTCACCAAACACTTTATAAAATCCATCTCTCTAGCTCCTTCCCATGCCATTTAAAAAAGATTTTAAAAAGTCATGTGTATGAGTGTTGGCCTGTGTGTATGTATGTGCCTGGTGCCCATAGAGGCCTGTTCTGAGCCTCCGAGTCAAGTAATCTCCATCTTGGGGTATCAAGTTTTGTTTCCTTGTGCAAGACTATCCCATCTGGGTGCTTTGACTGTTCATACTCCCCCAGAGAGGGGCAGAGAGCCTCACCTGAGTATCCAGCCACTCCCTTACCACTGTTGTATGCAAGCCTGCCTTTTTTTTTTTTTTTTTTTATTGTTGTTGTTGTTAAATGTGACCTTCCAGGGTTATTGGAGTACATAGGCTGGGGAAGATTGGGGAAGGGGCCAGCAACCATATGGGCACAGGGAAGCCTTCATCCCTGCTGAGTAATACTTTTCTGCTGTGGTCTTTTGGGGAAGGAGCACCCCACACCCCTCGCCTATGCTGTAAGGAAGCCTAGTAAACTCATTGTTTCCCCTAGTGGACTTTGGTGGAATCACACCTGTGTATGTTGCTTGTCTCTCCTGGAAAGGAATTTTAGCAACAAGGCTACAAGAAGGCATCAGATCCCCTGGAACTGGAGATGCAGATTGCTATGAGCTGCAGCGTGAGTGCTGGAAACCAAACCAGGGTGTTCTGCAAGAGCAGTTCTCTTCACGGCTGAGCCATTTCTCTAGTTGAGCCATGTCATTTTTAAATGTCAAGGTGTAATGTTTATATTGTTTCCAGGGATAATTATTCATATAGCTTTTTGTTTATAATCCTTCCCAAATGGCCACCAACTGGGAAGCAAGTCTACGGGGCCATCTTCTTTCAAACCCCCAAAGGAATAGCAATTTCACCTTTATACATGTCATTCTTCTTCCATTTTCATGGACATCAACCATCTTCATAATGTTTTTTTTTCCTTTCATCTATTTATTTGACCACTTTAATCTTTTTTCTTTCATTTTAAAAAATCAGATTTTCTTAAGCCTCTCTTCTGTCAATTTGAATCTCAGTCTTGTTCGCTCTGTTTCTTGTTTTTACTTTTAGTTCTAAAGCATTTTGGATTTTAATTTGTGGCTGTCTTTATAGTCTACATTGTATTTTTAACCATCTAGTTATAAATGTTTGAACTATTTTTTTTTAAGTATAAAACATGAAAAAAAGTTTTCTTCTGTGTCCTGGCTTAGGGTTTCTATTTCACTGGATTCTTTTGGATTTTATATTAATCTTCTTATTTGTAGTGCTGATCTAATTACCCTATTGACCTTGTCCTTGATCCTGTTTGATGAGGACAGCTCCGTGCATCATTTTCATTACTGTAGCACAGGGTTGAAGGTCTCTTCTGTCTTCTGTAAAGTCTATTTGTTTTCAGTGCTGGGCGTAGCTATTATATTTAATCTCTTTTGATACAACTTAAGAGTGTTGATGTTAGAGGGGAGCTTGTCAGCTGTATAAAGGTGTAAACCAGACCCTGCTGGTTGAGCCTTATTAAACCCTGTATGCCCGTGGTCCCAGCACAGTAAGGCCAGAGCTGTGGACTAGTGGTGCATCAGTCTGCTTTCTGTTCCTAGTATGAAGACCATGACCGAAGGACTTGGGGATTGAAGGGTATTTCATGTTACAACCTATAGTCCCTCATGAAGGGAAGTCAGGGCAGGAACTGAAGCAGAGAGCATGAAGGAACACCACTTGCTCCTCAGGATCACAGTCAGTTGCCTTTCTTCTACTTCCCAGGACCACTTGCCCAGGGCTGGCAGCACCTGCAGCGGGCTGGGTCTTCCCGTATCAATCATTAATCAATAAAACACCCTACAGACTTGCCTCTAGGCTAGTCTGATGGAGGCAATTTCTTGACGAGAGTGCTCCCTCTTCCCCAGTGACACTAGTTTGTGTGAGGCTAACAGAAAACTAATCGGTATGTGCCCTGTAAGTCATTTTGGGTAGGTCTGCTTAAGACATAGTCTTAGCTTTTTCTGTGAAAGTACTGTTTTTTTTTTGTCCTCATCCCTATTGACTGGTTCTACTAGTTACAGGATTCTGGGTTGATAATGTCCATTTGTCCATCACCTGACCACCAGCTTTCCCTGGCTTTTATAGTGAGTGATTTGATGTCATTTATCTTTCCTCCATGGGTCATTTTCTCTATCTGGTTTCATGATTCTTTGCTCTTGGTTTGCATAACTTTAATTGTGATGGGTATAAATGTGGATTTCTTAGGGATCATCCTGTTTGAGATTCACTAGACTTCAATTATGTCTTTTGCCAGAATTGCTCACATTTTGGCTCTTGTTTCTTCAGTTACTTTGTTGTCTTGAATGCAGGATATTTGGTTTTGTTGCACAGATCTCTGGAGCTCTTTTCTCTTGTTCATGTCAGATAATTTATATTGTTCTACCTGACAATCCTTGTGTGCTTTGTCCTCTGTGCTTCCCATGGGCACGTTGGTGGTGGTTTATTGCAGCAAAGCAGTTACCATGTAAAAAGTTGTTTGTCTTGGTGTCTGTCCTGGCCCTCTGGATAGGGAGAGCAGACTTCTGGGCTCTTTTATGCTCTTTGGTTGCTGACAGTGTGTAGTGTTATTGACTACTTTATTTCCAAACTTGGAACATATGATGGCAAAGGGACATTTATGGACCTCATTGTCATTTCTTTCCTTAAGTTTTGAGGCTCCTTTATGCTCTGCTGCCTCATCTATACTTTCTTACATTTATTTCACATATAATGCCCCAAATTTTAGTATTGTATTTCGAAAGGTGTATGAAAGCTAAACCTACTTTAACTTCCTAAAAGTGGATATTTACATACTTACCTTTGAAATGAAAAAGAGAACAGTAATGTGTGTGTGTGTGTGTGTGTGTGTGTGTGTGTGTGTGTGTGTGGTATGGGGTATGAAGTATATTTTTGGTGTATACACGTGCGTGTGGATGCATGTACCTGTGAATTATATGTGGAAGATAGAGGATGCTGGGTACTTACTTCTGTCCCCACTTGTTGCCTTGAGCAGGATCTCGAGTTGGAAGTTCACTGTTTAGGCCAGGCTGGATGGCTACTGTGTTCTTAGAACCCACCTATCTCTGCCTCTCAATGCTAGAGTTACAGGCATGCACAGCCATGCTGGGCTTTTTATGTGGGTGTTGGGGATTTGAACTCAAGTCCTCATGTTTGCACAACACATGCTTTTGCTTTTACCAATTCAGACATCTCTCCAGCACCCAAAATGATTCTTAAGAATTATACCTCGGGGGAAAAGGAACCTTTTTGCTAATAGCTGGTAAAACATGATGTTTTGATGGGACTGTGACATGTTCCCCTCAGGCTCTCAGGTTTGATCACCTGTTCCCCAGCTGGTAGTGCTGTTTAGAGAGGTTGTAGACCCTTTTAGAAGGTGGGGCATGGTTGATGTGGACAGATCACTGTGGATGAGGCTTGAAAAGTGGTGGCACAGCCCTGGTTCTGTTCCTGCTTTCTGTGTCCTGGTTGGCTGCCGTGATGGGCTCAGCTACCTCATACACTGAGCCGCTCCCCTGCTATGCCTTCTCTGACCCACATTTTTTTAACACCTCCTA